TAAATATCAGCTTTATTTGAAGTTGACTTTATCTTCGAGTTATAATTGACCTTTATGAAGTTCACAGTGTTGTGTCTGAATATTGAGAGCAATTTTAATTTAAAGGTTACATTTAGGAACTTGGCGACAAAGAAAAGAGGTTATGACGAAAATATTTTTTACTGACTCTCATCTTGCTTGTGAGGAGAAAAACCTTGAGACAAAACAGATAGTGACAAAACGATCCAATCCGCCTTCACAGCTTTGTTTCTGTTTTTAAACAGAAAAAGTCCAAATGTAAGTTCTGCTGCATCCAGAGGAGCTTGTGTGAAGAACGGAGAGCATGGTGCAAACAAAACATCTCAGATGAAATAACTCTCACACATGCAGACGTTTTTTTTAGAGTTAACTTTCCAACAGAAGAGTGTTGGATCTGTGTGGCCTTCAGCACCGCACGCCTTGCATGGTAATGGGTGCTGGGGGTTGGTAGTGGGGGGGTTTGAACTTGAGCGCGCAGGAATGCGGCTCGTGGGAACGCCGTGCTCCACGGTGCCCCACTCCATTGACGGCGCGCGGGCCGGTGTCAGCTCTGATCAGCATAAAACCCAGGCCGCTTCACGTGGAGGCGGGGGGGGGGGGGGGGGCGGGGCTCGCGCTGCTTCTTTCACACGAGGCTCCTGCATGCCGTATAAACTTTTATATTTACGCAAGTTTTCCAGGAGACAAAGGGGTTAATGATCAGTTTTCTCACTGGGCGGTAAGTTACTTTTTATTTATTCATTGTTTTCTCTCAGGGTCGTATTTTTAGCTCTTTGTCTATCATTTAATTTTGAAAACCTTTAAATCAGATTTTGAACATTTCTGACAGAACTGTTTTTGTAAATCTGTATTATTCAGTTTTTAAACCAAACCATCTTGTTATAGTCTCCTTTTTTTGTTTTAATCTTTGATGTTAAAGACAATAATTGATTTAAAATGTAGTTTGTATCATTTTAATCAAAATTTATTTTCTGTTCCTTGATGTTTAATGGAATAGGCCTGCTCAAATCCAAATTCTGCTTCTGGGGGACTTTTTCCTCTAAAGCAACACCTGACTTGATTTTTGACTCTTTGGTTGTTCAACTTGTCTGACTGAGAGCTGAAAGTGACGTCATGAAATAGTGACATCATCACTGCTTCAGAAATCTGACAGCAGAGACTCGTTAATAAACATGTGCTGCACATTACTGCACTGATAGATTCCTCCAAACACAAGGAAATATTGACAATTATCAAAACATTTTAAAGGTAACTTGTTGCTTTGAATTTTGTGACACAAAGATAAAAATGTTGGGTTTTAGAAAATTCTGTGAGTTTAACGTTGACTCATAATGAAGGGTTGTTACTGTGTGCATGAACATTTTTCAGTATGTCATGTCACAATTTATGAAGCTGAATAAAGTTGAGTAAAGTCCAGAACAAGAAACTGAGAGAACATCATCAAACATCTGGAAATTAAAGAGCAAAATGAATAAAAAAACACGTCCAATATTTAAGACAGAGCTTTGTGTGTACTGTTGGTAAAATCACAAACATATTATATTATTATAGCATTTATTATTATGTTCAGTCCAATTTGTTTATGAAATTATTACTTTAATTCTAAACATTTTTTATTTTGTATTGTTTATCAACATTAAGATTTTAACAATTAAAACGTTTTATTTCTGAAAATATTAAGATTTAAAAATCAAGATTTGCAGCTAAATCAATTCTAATTTCACTGACATTTTGATAAAAATAAGCAAAATGATTTTGATTATTATAAACTAAAATAAAAATAAAACTCCTGGACATTTTGTTAAATTAAATATTATCAAAATAATAATAATAATAATAATAATTTGTATCTTCTTTTATATATTTACTGTGTAGTTTTTATTTTTCTCAGTCTCAACAAGTTTATTAATAATTTTCAACTGATATACAGTATTATACAGCAACACATTAATATTATTTAACATAAATTCATAAAACATCTATTTTTTATTGCTATACGTCAATTAAAGTTTTATTTCATATCATCATTGTTTACTTTGAATTCAAACAACTTGCGCAACTTTATTTAAAAGTATATATTTTAAGTATAATATAGCATTCATTTATGTGCATTTTAACGTTGGTGTTAAACAGACAGCACCAAAGAAAGTTTTTTAATCTCTCCCTGTTTTTTTTTTTTTACTTTTTCATTTTAATTTATTTTATTCTGCGAGCTAACACAAACTTTGTTGTAATTTATTCATTTTTACATTTGTAGTTTCTTTGTTCCTTTTTTCACCAAAAGGTGTCGCTGTTTCTTCTTTTGCTGCTTTCTTTAATAACTTCGTTATTTCTGTTTTATTTAACACTGTTTTCCTAATTTGTATTTGCTTCGTTTGATTTGAAGAATTAAAATATTTCAATTAATCCCCTCACGCTCGTGCAACAAACAACTCCGTTAGATTAATAAGTTTATTTTAATTTTTTGTTAAGCCAGTCTAATTGAGACTAAAAGCGCACTTCCTGTTGAAAGTGATACAGTAACACAAGGAAATGGTTGATCAACTTCTAATATTTAACTGATTTAGTGTTTTTAATGAAGGAAGAAAATAAAACAGCTTAAAGTAGGTCATCATTTTCGCACGAATAAACATTTTGTTCATTAAGGAGTTGTATTTATCATGACAGCTTACAGCATAAGACTGTGAATCATAAAAGTTATTTGCACGTGTTGCAAACATAATTAGTCTTTAAAACTGGACTTACTTTCGATTAATTTTAATTTATTTTTTTTATTCATTTAATCGCATCACGTTTCTTCTTCTCTCCTTCCCTTTGAAGAGTCATTTCAAAATAAAACCAAATGTTTCATGGTCTCTTAAACAATCTGGGGCCTGTTCGATAAATCTGATGGGCCCTGAGGCGGCTCTGATCCTCCCCTCCCTGCTCCTCCTCCTCATCTTCATCATCACCACCGTCTCTGTCTGTCTCTCTGTCTGTCTGTCTGTCTGCAGCAGTGTCTGACCCGCTCTGACCAGTAAGAGATGGTTTTTAGATCTTGTATTTGTAGAAAATCCCACTTTAGTTCAGATCAGGCAGAAGGACAGACATGGAGCTTGCATGAGGAAAATATGGAGGCGAATGTGGGACAAACTCATGGACTGAAGGGTTTTAAAACCAGGATGTGACTTGATCTTTTATTTCAAGCAATGTGTTAGATATTTGATGAATAATGTTATGCTCGTTATTTTCACTTCTATTTCTGTTTGTTTGTATAAAAATGCATGAGGCTAAACAGATCTCAGCGATGACAGAAGACATTGTATATATACATATATATACATTTTTTTTTTTCATTTATAGGATAAGTAAACTGTAATTTACATTTCATAACATCGAGATGAACTAGAATAAACTTGATTCCAGCACATTTTCTGTTGAGGCTGAATTATACCAAAAACTGGCAATTTGTAAGTTAAGCAAACTCTGGAGTAAATTAACGAGGCTCTTCGGGGCCATGTGTGAGAGGAGGAGGTGGAGGAGGAGGAGGAGGAGGAGGACGCTGCAGAGCAGAGTTCAACAGGGAGATATTGTTGGGAGCCTGGGAAAGTGGAGCGGGGCTGACGCCAGACTCTGTTGGGTTGGGACTGGGGGGGTTGATGGAGGGGGACCAGGAGGATCCCAGACTGGATTGTCATGGTAATTTCTCTCCTGCACGTTGTTGAACTTGATGTTGACTTTTTTTTTTTTTTTTAAGTTTTGAAAAGTGGGTTGGTTGCGTGGGGGTGTGGGTGGGTCCCTGTTACTTGTTTATGGGAAAATCCATTTGACACACACATACAGTATTAAGACGCTATGAGTACATCTTATCTGTATCCAAAAATAAAAGGAACCTCAATTTCCTTTCCAGAATTCCGTTTATTTGTAACACATCTAACTTGTTTAACAATATAAGTTTATTGTTTTTATTATTATTAAAAACCTGATCAAACAAGAGCCCCTTATAGTTGTTGTAGTTTTTAAGGAGCATCACCTCCTAACGCGTCACGTGTTGTTACAGTAGAGCTTCAGAACAGATGCATTCTGGGGATGCAGGTGTAACGTCCCCCTGCGCGCATGCTCAGCAGCAGCGATGACTCTTCCCTCGCGCGTATTCGCTGCACAAATGACTCTTCCTTGTTTTCGTTGCGTGTGCTGTGAGTTTATTTACAGCGCGAGGCCACATCTGCTCACATCTGCACACAAAAGATTCATGCAGTGAAGTCCGAGCTGACAGGAGGGCTGCAGCACAATGCTCACGCGCAACAATCAGATTATATCTGATGATGCTTTCCTGCAGGGCACTGCAGCACATCTTTCAAATATAACCCTTCAAAACTTTTAAAGGCGAGTTTCTTTTCTCTGCTTCTCCAGTCAAAGATCATAATAACGCTCGTCGTTAGCTCCTTGAATCAAAGATAGAAAACCAGTCAAGACAATTACCCTCCTTCTGACAGTGTCAGTAAAATATATTAAAATATGTGGGGTAAATATGAAAGTAATGTGGTTTTATTGACAAACTTTCTGACGTCATTTCTCTGTTAAGGCTTCAAAAACGGCAGAACTTTGGGTTTTAAGTTTATTTTAATTTTATTTCTGCATTAGCAAAGGTTTAATATTTTTTAAATCGCTCTCATTTTGCTGCCTGTATCATTCCACATATTTTCCCCTTAAAGATTGTTTTATATATAAATGTATAATTACAAAACCAACTTTGCTCCATTCGCCTCTCAGGGAGAGATTTTACGCACTCCTCATTAAGGAGGAGATTTGGAGGGAAATCAGCCTGATTGACGCAACACGTGCATTTATTTTCAGATTAATAATCTCTGCTTCCCGCCTCTCTCTCTCTCTCTCTCTCTGGCTGTGTGTCGTCTGGTGCGTGTGTTTGAGTCCCCTCCTTTCCTCTCTGAGGCGGAGTTTGCGCCCTCAGCTCCCCGTGTGGACTCTCCGCACTTGGCAGTAGCAGCCTGCGCGTGCGAGGGAGAGGATGCGGTTGTTTCATCCCAATCTGCGCCACCTGAGGACACTTTGTGGCTCCTGATGAGCTACTCTTTCACGCGCTTTCACTCTCCTCCGATGCCATCGAGCCTTTTGGAGTAGAAATGAACGCGGAGCGAGTAAGTAATCGATGCTTTGTGCAATGTTCTGAAGGCAGATTTTAAAATCAGTGCTTCTGTGTGTTTCTCAAAAAAAAAAAAAAAAAAAAAAACTCTCATGAACCAGAATGAATGAGGTATTTTAAATGGATTTGTGTGTTTTTCCAAGCGACGCCAAGCTGTTACTGAATCCCTGAAGTTTGATGCTGAAAGCTTTGATCCGCATCTTTTATAAGAATGTGTCTGCACGTGCAGATCTGAGGTGGGTTTACTTTTAAAGCAGCCTGTTTGATTTGCAAGAACCTTGAGGATGCCTAATGAATGTACTGTATAGGAAAAGTGTGTGTGTGCGCGCGCGCGTGCGTGTTTTATTGGAGCCAATAGAAGCTGCGTGTGAAAGTCACCTTTCTTACCTCAGATAAATATAAAAATGTTTTAACATGCTCAGCATCTCACCTCCTCTGTGTGTGAGAGATGTGTGTGTGTGTGGGGGGGGGGAGCAGTGCAGATTTCACACATGCAACCCCCCCCCCCCCCCCCGGTGTTTTCCTCGGCGCGGGCGGCCCCTTTAAGAGACGACGGGTCAGTTTGTGTCTTTGGTTATCTAGCTGTATGAGTTTTAATTTCATAAAGCTAGAGAACCGAAAGTACGAACTGATGCCGAACACTTCGAAGAAGAAGAAGGAGGAGGAGACTCTCTCCTCTCGTGGAGGAGGAGGAGGAGATGATGCCGGGGCGGCTACCAGCAGCAGCAGCAGGAGGAACCGGGATGCTGACGGAGGAGAAGATGGAGACGCTATAGCAGCTTGATTTTAGCTAATTCCTTTCCACTTTCAGCTGCTATCCCTGCATGTGTGTGAAGGGGGGTGGTGAGGTGCATGGTGGTGATGGTTGAGGACCCATCAGTCCATCGTCATGTAGAAGAGAGGTCCAGACCCAGAGCATGCTGCAGCTGTCAGAGCTGTGTGGGTGTTTTTTTCTGGAGGGGTGAGACAGAAATAGTTGAAGCTTTCCTCTAATTGGCCGATCCGGGACTCACGTGACAGTGTTGGCTGCAGCATCATCATCACTTGAAGTGATCGCACGTTTTTTTTTTATATATCAGAAATCCTTAAAGGTCTTAACTTTAATTCAATAATTACAGCACGACTGTGTTCCCTTCCATCCAGTCCACTCTAAAAAAAAAATCACATGGTTTTATCTCAAATCTTGTAAGTTTCTTCCAGCTGCTCCGTTCTTCAGAAGTCGCCACAGCGAGTGAAAGATTTAGCTATTTGATGCCCTTCCTGGGCCCGAACCCGCAACCTCAGGATTAAAAGTCTGACCACCAAATTTTGCGATTCTGGTTTTTTTTTTTTAACAAATCACCAGAATGCAGCTTTGAATAAAGAAATCATTCTAGGTCAGGGGTCTGCAACCTTTATGATCAAAAGAGCCATTTTTCACCTTCGTTCGCTAAATTAAACGTGTCAGGAGCTGCACCAACAGCTGTGGTTGTCAACTGGTGGCCCATGGGCCACTTTAAGCTTGCTGGAGGGGGCTTTTGTAGCTAGTATTATAAAGCAAAAACTAATTATTTTTTAAATTTATTAAAGAAAATTATCAGATTCTTGTAAAGGGGGGAAAATTTTCAGTTACCATTATTTTTTGTAATTAATCTATAAACTATGCAGACAGATCAAGAAATAAAGCATATGTTTTACTCCTTGTACTCGCTCCAGTGTTCACATATTTGCAAAAGAAATGACATCAAAACTGTTGGAACTAATCATTTTTTGTTGTTTGTGGAACCAATGAAATTCAGTTTTATACCAGTTTTGGTCAAAGCTTGAAAAAGCTGCTGCAGAGGGACCAGAATGTGGCTCCAGAGCCGCAGATTGCAGACCACTGTTCTAGGTGCTAAAACGTCTTAATATATAAATTGGGGAGTGGTGGTGCAGAGGTTAGAGAAGATGGGCCTGTGATCGGAAAGCTGCAAGTTCAACTCCCCGGACTGACATCATTAAAATGTGTGTGGAAAAGATGAAACACCCACACCTGCCTCCACCCTCATTTGCCCCACTCTAGGCCCTTGAGCAAGGCCCCTAACCCCCATCATCTGCTCCCGAACAGGTCTCTTTTGAAAATGAGTTCTAGTAGTGACTCACTGAGACTACCTGTATAAAAAATTATTTAAAAAAAATCTAACTTTACCACGTTATTTAAATCATCATACTCCTTTTACTAAATATAAACTATCCCAAGGTGCTTTTTGAACATCTGGATTAGGCTTGAGGTCAGTGGATCACCTCCCTTACCAAACGCTGAGCTTTGCTCTCTGTGCTCTTGGACTTGACTAATGCTTTAGAGCCATTGCTATCATTGAATTGTGTGGTAAGGACGAAGTTTATAAAAATATTACTTTTTCCACTTAACCAGGTTTAGAGGATCCATGATAATTAATATGACTAATAATATTAAATAAAGGTGATATTTCGTTTCTTAAGGTTCAATGTTTTCTTGTAAATGTAATGTTTGTCAGTAGCATGATGTAAGAAGTGTTAACTCTGTGAGCTAACTGTTTGTAACAGGCATCACAGTCTTTGAGAGATCAAAACAAAAAAGGCCGCCTTTTGCTATTTTTAAAACGTAACGTTTCACTGAACCTGAATTAGACCTGGCAGATGTGTTTTTGTATTTCACTCATTATTTTTGGATTCTCAATAAGGACAAAATAGGACATCAGCTCAGAGTTTGATCTATTCTTGGAGCAGAACTGAAGTCTTAGAGACGACTGAAAATCCCTGAAGTCCCAGCATGCTCTATTTAGAGCATGACTGACGACGTTTGATGTGCGCCGTTAAACAAGAGGGCTGCAGATGGAGGGGTTCTGCGTCCTGCGGGATCAAATCCAATCAAACTTTATTTGTGCATCACGCTCCATGCATGCAGACACCATGTGCTTTTCAGCAAGAGCAAAATTACAGTTTGAGAAAACAACACATGCACGCAAAATAAGTCAGGTTGGACACATTATGGGATCATATTCTGTTTTTTTAGTTGGCTTTGCCTTTCTCTTCACATATTACCCCTGGGCTCATGAAATATTCTTTAATCCATCCCCTCACTGTGGTTTAATTTCCCCTTCACAAATGTGTCTTCATAAAATCCCACCATTAGATCAAGCATCACATTTATTATTACCCTTATTAAGTTAAGCTGCAAGGATTTTTTCATAAACCTTATATTTTTAGCTGAAACATGAAGTGCTCTTTAAAGTGGCAGGTGCGTGTGGGTTTTACTCATATTGACTGTCTTTTCTTCTGCTTTTGTAGGGAAATGTTGGCAACATTAGCCAAGACGTTTGCATTAACATGGAGAGAGGAGAGACACCGCCTGCAGACAGGATGAGGTGCAGCTGTCAGCCTGCAGGTAAATGCTGCAAATAAGATGACTCATGAAGTGCACATGCATCTTTTGGCTTTTATACATTTCTGTTTTAGGTCCTACATTGGGCTTTGCTGTCGTCTACATTTTGTATATCTATGTGTGTTTGAGTTTCATGCTCTGCTGAAGTCTTGATCATCTCAATTAAACCAAAGCAAATATCTACAGACATTTACTTCTGCTTGCACATGGCACAAATGTCAGTTTAATACCTAAACAATGTAAACGGACTGATTTCATCAAACCAACCTCCATGTTAAATTCCACGCTAACAATCTCTTTCGAAGTATTAGCCTTTGTCACTTCGAGCATCCCCCCCTCATCTTCCTCACGCTCAGACACGCACCTCTCTTTGTTAATCTCACACTCTCAGCGTTTTATCCCTTTTAAATACCGTGATCCTATTTGTCAGGTAGAGTGTGTGCTGGGTGCCGGAGAGGTGGCCGTGTAATCTTTGCTGCGGTTCTTGATCCGTTTAGGAGACCCTGTTTGGACCTGTTTGTGCGGAACGAGTGTTTGGGTGGCTTTGTCGTCTTTTTGTTTTGATTTTTTTTTGTCTCACCTCAGTGCCTTGACGACTTACAAGTCACCTCCCCTTATCCAAAGTCTCCTGATTGTGCAAATCTGTATAAACGTGCAACACATTCAGCAGCTTTTTGATGCGTCTAATGAAATTACTTTGGATCAAGCGTTTAAAACAAAAACTGACTTTCTTAGGGGTTGCTAATAAACAATGCACAGGAGATATTGTTCGAGGTATTTCTCATGTTGGTCACAGAAACATTTATTAGCATTGTCAGAAGTTCCCCTCCATTTCTCACAGGCGCTGCTGTAAATTAGGATAAAAAAAAAAAAAGTATACACTGTTAGCAAGGTCACATCTTCATGGTTCCATAACCTCGGAGCTCAGTAGAAATCTCAGTTATTCAAATTTACTGTGGAGTTCTTTGGTTCCCCAGATTTTTCCCAAGCTTTACATTAGCATATGCAAGGGCCCGCCTGTCCTGCTGTTTTCTAAAGTGGATGTAAATTATAACCAGCATTATACAGACTGATAGGAGATAAATCTCTGCAGTAATGCATCGCAGCGAGTTGCAAACAGGGAAAGTGGGGGGTGTGGGCTTGATGCTTTCAAGAGGGTGTGTGTGTGTGAGGTACTGTACAAAAGCATGTGGCAGATGGGATACAGCCTAGCAAAACGTGTGCTAATAGTCATGCTAAGCTCTATTTCCATTTCTGTTTCAGATTTTCCATCCCTATCTTTTGTTCCTTTTTTATTTTTATTTTGTGCAAAGCGTGCATCAGATTTGAAATTTAGTACATTTGTTGTATTAATGAAACCGTTTTAAAAGTGAGCGCACATCTTAAAAAGAAAAAGAGAAAACTAATATTAGCACAGTGAGATTAGTAAGTCGAAATTTGCACTTGTGCAGTCCAAAAGGCTGAGGGGCTTCAGGCCTCATGAGCCGAGTGGAGATCTTTTTGGAATCTCTATGCAAACCCAGGCTTGAATAATGAGATGTATTTATGAAGGGCTGGGAAGGAGGTCCCTGCTTTTGAAAACAAGTATGCTGGAGTCTGAATGGGATATAAGGGAGAAGGAGGGGGGGGGGGGGGCTTGGACAAGAGAGAAAAATGGGTGCGTGTAGAGGTGGGGGTACCAGGGGCCCCCAAGCAGCCCAGTCCTCGTCCAGGCAGCTGTGAAAAGGGGTCCCGTCTTTTTCCCACGCCCAGCAAGACGCGAAACAGTGCCGCAGCTCGCTAGGGTCAAGTCCCGTCGCTAATATATACACACACATGCATACACACACGCAGGCAGAGATTGTGTGTCAAAGTTTTGCAAATTAACAAGCTGTCTAAGAAGCTCTGTGACATGGGGGGGTGGGGTGCTGCTTTTCTCCCAGGATGCTTTACACTCCCATCAGGGGTCAGTGGGCTTCATGAAACAGTGAGGTCATAACTTCAACTTGAACTTAAAATTCTGCTGAAGACTGAAAAGAGTCTGGATTGTCATTGTTGTCACTTCTTTAGGAATAAAGACTAAAACTAAAGCTGGACCCGTTTCACGTGCAGGATGAAGACTATTCCTCCCTTCATCCTGTGATTGCGTGGACAGATTTATATGCTTGTAATATCTGTGATATGAGTTCAAACATTCTCAAACATATAAAGTAAAGTTGATCATTTTGGCATCAATATTTTAGATATAATGATCACATCTGATCCTTGTTGTGCTTAGAAGATATGGAACTGAAACATGAGAAGTGTCACACAAAAAAAAAAAAATTCTGATGAATTGGCACCAAGAGAAAATTAATTGTCTCCGATTTCTAATGTATTCATGTAGTGACCAGGATGAACCTCTGAAATTACAGGTACAGTGGCTGCTATTTTGCCACCTTCGATAAAAGGATGTAGTGTCACCTCGTCCTCCTTGCAGGCCCTTTCTAGAAACGACATGGCACACCAAACAAAATGGTGCAGCGTTCACTTCCCTCCCCGATCACCTCCATCACTGCATCAGAGCCTCGCAGAGCGGTGTCTCACTAATTCAGTTCCCCCTTCCTGCTCCATCCCCTTGCTTTATTTCTGCACTATTAAAAAAACAAAAAACACTATGCCCATCTCTGAATACATCAGCAAGCATCCTGTCCTCTTTCTCACCCTCTCCTTGCTCCTGACTCTCCATCTTCTTCCATCTCATTATCATGTCCCTTCCCATTCAGAAGAGCTTCAAATAAAGACGGAGAACCCTTCTAATTAGCTCTGTAAAGATGCTTTGTTGTGGTCAGTGTGGTCACCAGTGTGTGCATTGAGAGAGGATGTGTGACAGCCAGTGTTAGCACTGAGGACATGTGTATGGGCCCTTAATGAGGTTTGTTAGCTGAGTGTGTGTCCTGCTGTTTGAATGCACCCTCGGCAGCCTTTGAAGGAACAGAGATGAGGAGAGCGTCTTTCACGATGGCAGATTGCAGAATGCAGATGATGCATTATGCCCAGCGTGGTTTCCAGTTCAACAGCAAATGAGAGGAGAATAATACTTGCATGTTGTCCATGAAAACCGAGCGGGAAGTATACAGAGGCCGTTGTGCTCCCCAGGCATCTCCACCCTTTGTGGATTTGTGTTGAACAAAGAAATATTTGCTGGGAATTAGCAGCTCTAAGAAACTCACAGTTCATATTTTGCATAAAAGCAAAACAAAAGAGCGAGAGAGAGAGAGAGAGTGAAAGCTCACTGAAGAGACTCCCTGTTAGAAATCATCAATAGACAGTCTTGTTGCAAAGTTACGAGACAATATAAAGAAAACTTCCATGCTATGTATTTAGAAGAAATGGTGGATAAATTAGCAGGTGATTCGTGAGCTCAAAATGTGAAATAAATAAAAGTAAAATCAGCTGTGTGTTTGTGGTGGAAGAACAGGGCTGGGAACGTATATCGTTTAAAGAGAGACTGAAAGAGAAAAAAACAAAATAGGTTGGGAAATGAGGGATTGTGTCGAGCGAAGAGCAGCCTGCTGGGCCTGCCTGCTGCCTCAGAGATTGTAAACTGTCACGCAGGATGCAGACAGAGGAGCAGGACAGAAATCATTTGCCCACATTACCCTCTAACACTGAAACTGCCGCTCACACATCCCCTTCCTTCTCTCCTCCGTCTGCAGCTGTTATTTTCTCCTTTTTCTTCTGCCCGTGCACATACATGCATATGAACTCGCAGCTTCACCGATAGATTTTCTCCTCTCTGGATGAAACGAGTCAGCTTGCAGCTCTTCTCTTACCCCCACATCATTGTTCGATGGTTTGTTGCCTCTCCGTAGGAGGTGCGCAGAGAGTGTTTGGACTCATTCCCCTGTTTTACCAGTTTACCAGTGTAATCCCTTCCACTGGCACAATGAGCTTTCACTCCAGCCACAGGATTCTATTAGGCTCCCAGAGAGGCACGGGATCTCAATAAACATTTTCCAGCTACTCTTGTGCCGCCTATACAAGCAGCTGAACTGATAGCTTCTTGTATACGTCTTAAATTAAAACCCACCCTTCGTTTTACTGAGAGGTTTACCTGTCTGGACAAATAATGTGAAATAAGAGCTTACAGCAGCAGCTTGTTAACGCTTGCTGCTTCATTTCCAAAACAAAACGTCTTCATTTCAAAAAAGCAGCTAATGTCGTATTTCATGGAGAAAAATAAATGTTAAGTGATTTTCAATCAATGATTTTGTTCTGAGCAGAAAACCTCCACTACAGTTGTGGCCACTTTAAAAAGATGCAGCCGCTTTTATTAACGGTTATCATTGTGACCCTTAATTTATCAATTCACTGTGTTTTTCAGGCACACTCAAAAAAAAAAAAAAAAAGAGTAACAGTTTTATGAAAAAGTTAAATTAAATGAGGGATGCTGACTTTTAAGCAATAAGCGATTTCACGTTTAAGCTGCTCTTAAGTGTTTTTTTTTTTTTTATAAAACAGTCAGTAAACTTCTGAGTTAAATGGACTTGTTTGCAAATTTTTCATATTAACTTGATAAGAAAGTGTGTAATCGTGGCTCTGTCTATTTTCTGGAACGGCACCCTTAAAACAACAAATTGAAATAATCTGCTCTAAAAAGGGCACTTGTTAAATTATCAAATAATACCAAAAGAGTCATCACTGCACGTCACTCCGTTTATTTAAATATTTAAATATTAAAAGCATGAGTAAAGCATGCGTGTGGCATGCAGAGTCAAGCAAATGTGATTCCTTCTCACAGATATATCGTTTTTGTTCTAATGTTTTTGCTGCAGATGCTCAGGTGCTGTTCATCATCCTTATAACGCACAAAAACCGTCTTCAGATACAAGAAACAAAAGTTGTTGTTTTTTTTTTAATCATCAAAGATTGTTAGACTCATCTCACTGTATTTATTACAAAAAAAATCAATTATTTACTAAAACATTTATGTTCATTAGCTCTTTTTGGTGTGTTTGGTGATTTTTATCACCGTACTTATACGGTTTTTTTTTCTGTTTTTGGGGACTCAGAAAATATATAAACAGCTTATTTATAGCTCATGTCTCTGAATAATCAGAGGGAATATAAGCAAAAATAAACACTTTGAACAGAAGATAAAGATTCAGAGGTTTTTTTTTTTGTCTGGAGCTGCTAAATAAGGCACCAAGTGTTTCTGTGACACTCTTCTAGGATCCTTGTGAGATGCTCCTCTGCTTTGTTTCTCAAGTCCAAAGCCACAGTGGGTCACGGTGCTCCTCCAGTCCTGCTCTACCCAAACATATCATTCCATCTTTTATTTGTCTTTCTCCTTCCCCCAGCCTTCCCTCCGCTCCCATCTTAATAATGCCGCTCTTTTCTTGCGCTCTGAGTGGAGGGCTGCCCTGAACCAACATTGTCCCTTGCACTGGTTCTAGTGAGGGGGCCCTATTGTGTGTGAAGGAATGGTGAGTTAACACCCATGTCTGAGCACCCTCAATGGGAGCATTGTGTCTGAATCGTCCTCAAGCTCACCCAGTCTCACCCACATCACCCTCCCACCTCTCATACCACGGCTACACCGATCACGTAGCTGTTATATGATAAAAACACGAACTAACAAACTGAAACTCACCAATAAGCTGGATCCTTCATCTGGCCTCGGCTGGATTTATCCACTGTTTTCTTTGTTCTTCTTATCTTATTTTCTATTATTATTTGTTTTTAAGCCATTCACAGTGAGCTGAATGTGTCTTTGTAGCTGCGATTTGACAGAAATTTGGGGCTGATGGGTGTACGGCTGCAAAAGGAGGCCCCTGCAATTCCTTTCTCGTAGAGAAAAGAACAAAGAATTGCACAAAGGACCTTATCGTATTAGCATGATATTAAGATTCTGAATACTTTCAAAATGCTTCGAGATACTTCAAAACAAAGACGTCTGCGTGGATGAAATTATTACCATTAATGGTATTGAGTAGAGGCTATGCATGATGATATAAACCAGAATTCTTTTCAAATTTATTTACAACGTTTAGAACGTGGACACAAATGGCTGCTTTTGTGCAACATGTTGAGCATTTTTATTTGTTTTTTGTTAAGCAGCGAGCGCCTCGGGGCGGGTTACAAAAGAGCAAGTTGGTGTTTTCTTCCCACATATTTTTAATCAAAGTGTTAGTGTTTACATTTGCATTTGCATTGAGCAGAGGGATGTTGAATGCTAAAGGTGAGATTTTGAAAAACACTCTATTTTTCCCTTTTTTTTTTACAGCTGGAAACGAGGGTGGGTGGCTGGAAGGCTGGATGAAGGCTGGTAGATGACTGAACTCCGAGACCCGGTGCAGCTCATCATCATTGCCAGAGGCTCTTGTCTTCTTCCTCCCCTCCCCATGGCTCGTACCTCCATCCAGAAGGTCTAGCAGAGCCAGCGAAGCCCAGCCGAGACTCCAGTGAGTGGGCTGGGAAAGATGGAGAATGTCCCTGAAGGCTAGAATCACCTCTGGAGCTACCAACATGCAGGAGAAATCAATATGAAACACAGAGACATCACAGCTTTGAGTGAGGTTTCCTATTTTTCCTTTTTTTTTTTTTTTTTGAGTGTGTGGCCTGAAGGGCCGACAGACCTCCAAAGGACACTCCCTGCGTGGCTCTTCTCAGCTGCAGCCTCCAGCTCCTTACTGGACCTCGGTCCTGATCTCCACTGGCTGTGTGTGGTTCTGCTGAAGGCTGTTTCTCTCCAAATGTTATCCACCATGTCAAAAGACTGCTGAGAGGCATGTTCCTTTTTCTTTTCTTCCTCCCTCATCATGAGATTGACATATCCCACCACCGTCTGCCTCTGGCAACCAGCTTGGAACTTCTGCTCTTGACTCACTCTGCAACTTTAACTCATCTGCTGCTTATTCCCCAACTGGTTTTTACACTTGACAAACAGACACTGCGATCTTTATTTTTTCCTCAGCTGCTGACTGTGATGAGCTGCAGACACATGTCTTTCAAAAATAGAAATGCAGCGAACAAAGCTTGATTGTTTTTTCCACGATGCCCTATTAATACGTTTGAAACGGTGCATAGTAACGAACTGAAAAGCAGAAAACGGCTGAAGATCACAGAGCAGAGACGTTGCTGCAGAGACAGTAAAATGGCAAGTATCTCTCTATAATGCTCCACATACTCTGAATGTGCACTCAGAATATATGTGTGTGTGTGTGTGTGTGTGTGTGTGGGTGAACGTATCGTACAATCCTGGCCTTGAGAGCAAACAGCAGCAGTTTCCAAAACGTAGTTGTTGTCTTGGAGATGCGATGTGGTCGGTTCCCTCCAGATGGGCACAGCTTAAGACAAAATGGCCGCCGCTCTTTCCTTCTGCCAAAGATGGCGAGCGCTCCGTGGTCGTCTGCCATCTGTGCATCCGTTAACTGTCGCCGAATGCAAATCGGGGCTAATTGCATTTGCATAACCTCAAAACATTGTGGCGTTTTTTTTGTTGTTTTTTTTCTGATCTCGTGAGGGTGTCATGGCGGCAAGCAAGCAAGACTGAAGAGGCTTTGTTTATTTTTTTTATTTTTTTTTTTACGTGTACTCACTGATATTTGTTCATCATTCACAATGAAAGCATTTGCACCCTGTGAAGTATCTGATAGGTGTTTTAGATCAAGCGTCCAGACGTACTGTGCCATATGGTGCTCGTGTTTCCGTGTGATTCCCTCGTATGCAAATGTGACACTGTACAAAGGATTAAGCCGAGGCTTTGTTTAAATCAGATCGCTCTCACGCACACATCCTCCGTTGTTGGTTTTTTTAACACACAGACAAACATAAAGCACAGATTAAGCAAACGGAGACGCTCACTAATTAAAAATTAAAAAAGATCCATGTGTTCAACAAAGACCAGACCATGATTGTCTCATTTTTTGCACATGGCTGTCTGGTTACTCATCACAAACCATGGGGTGGCTCATTTAGCCTAAAAGCTGTTTTTTTAAATGAAATATAAAAAAAACTATTCACACCTGAAAACCATTTTTAGCTTTGAAGCTTCAGTTTTTCCTGAAAAACTGAAAAGGAACTGATCCATTTGCATCAGGTTTGGAGTTTGCACCTTTTGTAATAAATTTAAAAAATATATACTGAACAGGTCAAATTAATGACAACATAATAAGACTATAAACAAGATTTGTGCGGCCGTGATAATTAATCTGTAACATTTTTGCCGCCATCTTTACATTTGACTCAGCAGGCTCCTGTTTTTAATTCATTCGATTAGAGCAGCTGAGCAACAAAGCAGCGCCACAATTTGCATTTTGCCCATTAGGGCAGCTGCCGCGCCGTACAGTTGGACCGGGCAGCAAAATGGCGGTCACGCGAATCATAAGGCGCTGTATGCTGGGCGTGGGAGCTGAGGAGACGAGGAGATGGTGGGATGGGAGATTTTTGGGGTGTCTGGTTTGTGAGACAGGGGTTGCAGGGTGCAGACTGTGGGGTGGGGGAAGATGGAGCAAGGGTGTAAGGAGCGGGGTTATTATTTGAGCAAGGGGGGCGTCTGGTTTTGGAGGGAACCATTAATGAAGAACTGGAGGGAAGAGGGGAGGGGGGGTGAATTTGTCTGCATTTGTGATGTGTCTACGTTTGTATAGAGCGATGGACGCAGCGAAGTTCACGCCTCACATCTTCTGACTGACCGTCACATCAGCAGCAGCAGCAGAAGATGCTTTAATGACACTCAAACAGCCCAAAGCCTCATGCTGGCCGCATCGCGGCTTCTGTAGGCGACGCCAGCCAGTGAGAGTCTGAGAAGCTGCTCTCAGCCAGTGGCGCACAGTCAAGAAGGAGGAAGAGGAAGGAAAAGCGAGGCGAGTCACGAGTTTACCCTTCATGTGCCGGAGAAAGGAGGAACATCAGAACAAAAACTGGACAGGAACAAAGAGTGAAGCGTAGAAGAAGGGCGAGTGCAGCAACACAAGAGCGCTAGGCTGTAATGGTGATGTGTGGCTTGCAAAGCGACAACAAAAAGGCAACGTCAGATTTTCTTTGTTTGCCTGTCGCATGTGCTCACGTGGAATGTTTACTGAGCATTTAAAGAGCGAAGAAAACCTCTAGCTGAAGCCAGGCTCGTCGCGAAACCCCCAAAAAAGTCAGACAGGCAGACACAATGGCCGTCTCCATCATGAGCCTCATGAATACCGCCTCGTTGTGACGGTGCTGCAGGTCTGGGCTCAGAGCGTGGGAATCCTGCGTGCACATATGCAGAACAGCCAGGCTCTGGCTAGACTGCCCTGCTAGCATGAATAAATGGTCTCATAGCAGGTGACAGAGGACCCTAGAGTTCATGGGTCAAGGCCAGTGAAGAGGTTGTCTGGTTCACGAGTGGTGTGCGTGTGTGTGCGTGTGTGTGCGTGTGTGTGCGTGCGTGCGTGTTTGGCCTTCGTCTGGGTCATGTAGCATGCAAATGAAGCAGCCAGGCTGTTTGATAAGCGTTCTGTCTATTATTAGCTCAGTGTTAGTTCAGAGACTGGACGCAGATTTGAACAAGAGCTCCTTGGTCGTGTTGCAGCCGCAGCAGGGTGCGGACAGATAGACAGGCAGGCAGATAGGCAGGCAGGCAGACAGATAGACAGATAGACAGTCTGAAGTCAGACCTCCCCTGCTAAAAGTCTGATTGCGTCGTCTCTTAGCTTTTTCTCCCCACGTCTCTGCTTTGCGTGGCATCTCTTCTCTGAGTGACACGCTGGTCTCGGGCTCTCCAGTGAGATGCTTTTGTTTCTCTCTGACTGACGGCATATTTGGAGCGACGCTCTGGATTTCCATCATGGAAGAAACCACCAAGAATGCCCTAGTTTAGACCGCACACAGTAATTTGAATCTTTGTTGTTGTTGCATTTGGGAAGACTGAAAAGATTAAGCTCTTAAAAGAGATTTTTTTTTTAATAAAATATGGTTGATGTTTAATTTTTCCTTTCAAGACCATAGAAAATATATTTAACTTTTATATTTTTCAAATACAGTTTGCTCAATAATGACAACCAAAATCACTTTGAGTCTTTTAAGTTTGAACATTTTCAAATTTTCCGTCAAAGTGGAGTCAACATTTGGCTGAATATTTTGAATCTTTTACAGCATCACAATAGTCTAATGCCAAATACTGTTTCTATTAAATTTACATTTAAAAGAAGCTTCTTCTTTTTTGTCACCAAGTCCTTTTTGTTGTTCTTCTCACTGATACTATAGATTTGCCCTAAATTTACAACAAGTAATTTGTATTGATCAGCTGCTCATAATGTGTAAACTAGACTGAACAGGTTTTGTGTGACCAGTTCAAACTGGACCCATTGTCTCCAGGATGCACACAGAAGAAGTTTTGAATGTCCCGTTGTAAAGTGATGCGAGCGTAATGTCTCGTGATGTTTCTTTAAGGGAGACCATGTTGCCTCATCAGGAGCCGTGTGAAGGACGGAGGCGAGTGAATGGAGCTAACTCGCTCCACTCCTTTATGCTCGTGGCTCCAGGCTTCATTAGCTCGACAGAAAGGGACAGCTCCCTCTCGGTCCCCTCAATAGACCCGTAGACCCGTCTCTGGACAGGCTCGGGCTCAGCGTGGAGGCTGAGTGAAGGTGTGTGTGTGTCCAGCCTGTTAAATGTGTGTGTGTGTGTGTGTGTGTGTTTCTGAATCACTAATCATCAGCTCTTATAGTTTCTTACTCTGTCTTAAAGTAGGCCCAGTTCTCTCTGTCTCGATTCTCACGTGCACAGCCTGCTCTCTTGTGTTTTTTTCTTGTTTTTATGTCTTAAAGTAATAGCTCAGATGTTTTGAAGTGGGGTTCTATGAATAAGTTATAACAATTACAGTATTACCTGCTGTAGAAGCTGCTCTTTGAAAGACTTCAGATTGGAAAAATTGTTTAATTCTGTTCTCGGCTCGTCCGGCCGGGGCCAAGACCAAAAGTTGCTGCTATTTCAAAACGACTCCAATCTCAATTGTTTTTGTTTTTGTTTTGTTTTGTGCAAATAGCTATAAATTGCTGTTTAAATGATGGTGTCATGCAACAATATTTGTTGTTTTAAAGTCTTTTAAAAAAAAACAACTCTGGTGCGATCCAGTGAAAAATATTTTTAGATTTAAATTGAATAAAGTGTGCAGAAATGCACTCTGGCCTTGACCCCACTCAGACTAACTCAACCCGCTCAGAATTAAACTGTATTTCTCCAAACTGAGGCCGTTCAAAGAGCTATCTAAAACAGGTAAGATAATAATTGTTCATAACCTTTACACATGACCTCACTTCAAACTATATGAAATTTTGCTTTGCTCTTCGACTGTCCTGGTTCTTAGAAGATATGTTTGTTTAATTTGGATCATCTGGTGTTTTTCTCTTATTGGATGTGTCACTTTAAGTGTTGGAAAACATTAATGCTCTTCAAGAGACAACTTGGACGACATGACTCGTTGTAAAGAAAATCCTGTCAGAAATTAAATCCTTACATAAAGTTTTAGTGATGATCCCTGAGGAGGTGACCCGGGTCTTGACTGGTTAATTCACACATGCAGATTATGTTTTAATTTGTACTCTTCTGTGACAAACATGGTGTGCGTGTAAAAGCGCTCACGTGATTCAAAATTCATCCACGCCGAGTTTCACCCAAGATGACGGTGAACTTTTGTTTGCATAAATTTCTAAAATGTTTTCTTGGCAACTTGTGTAGACCCAATCCTATACTTTAATTTCAGGTGAAAATGCACATAGAAGATGCAAACACAAAGATTTAAGTCTCGAATATGAACCACTCACATTGGAGCTCAAATCATTTGTTCTGTAAAATTAGGGAACATAAATTAGGATTCCCCACAATTGATAAATATATGAATATTCTGTGTTTATCCATTTCCTACTATCATTTTTTGTTGCATATTAGAGGTTGAAATACTATAGTGAGGAA